GTGGTGAACAGATAAACAAGCTGTGGGGTGCTGGTACAGGCAGCATTATCAGTGGAGTGAGCACTGTGCTGAGCAGCAGAAGTCAGACACAAAAGAGCACGGGCTGTGAGATCCCATTTATGTGAAATGCAAGCCCAGGAAAAACTGATCTATGGTGACAGAAATCAGATCACTGAGAGCCTGTGGGAAGGTGGTGTTGACTGGCAAGAGGCAGGAGGGAACTGTCTGGGATGATGAAAACACCCTAGACATGATCTGGGTGCTGCTTGCAAAAGTGTATACACAGGTAAAAATTCATCACTAAGGTTTACATTTTACAGGCTTCAGTTGGGCTTCCCTGGTGGCTCAGATGGTAAAGAATCTGTCTGCAATGCACGAGACCCAGGTTTGATCCCTGGGCCTGGAAGATCCCCTGGAGAAGGAAACGGTAACTCCAGTATTCTTGAATGGAGAATCCCATGGACAGAGGTTGCCTGGTGGGCTACAGTCCATTGGGTCGCAAAGAGTCAGACACGACTGAGCAACTAATACTTTCACACCTTATATCTTAATAAAACCCCTCTGGAGGACTTCCTTGGTGGTACAGTGGATAAGAATCTGCCAGCCAATGCAGGGGACATGGGTTTGTTACCTAGTCCAGGAAGATTCCACATGGTGTGGAGTAATTAAACCTGTGTGCTACAAGTACTGAAGCTTGTGTGCCTAGAGCCTGTGCTCTGCAACAAGAGATGCCACCGCAATGAGAAGCCTGCACAGCAAGGAAGAGTAGCTCCTGCTTGCTTCAACAAAGACCCAGAAGAGCCAAAATAATAATAACAAACATTAAAAATTAATTTAAAAAGTCTTTGAAAAGATGTGAAAGTTGCTCAGTCGTGTCTGACTCTTTGTGACCCCATGGACTGTATAGTCCATGGAATTCTCCAGGCCAGAATACTGGAGTGGGTACCTTTCCCTTCTTCAGAGGATCTTCCCAACCCAGGGATTGAACCCAGGTTTCCCGCATTGTGGGCGGATTCTTAACCAGCTGACCCACAACGGAAGCCCAATAATACTGGAATGGGTAGCCCATCACTTCTCCAGCAGATCTTCCCGATCCAGGAATCGAACCAGGGTGGCGGATTCTTTACCAACTGAGCTATCAGGGAAGTCCAAAAAGATGTCAACGTTATTTAAAAAAAAATCCCTCTGGAAACTCAAACTCACTCCCTTTGGATATAGGGGAGAGGACCCTTGCAGGACTCCCAGGTGGTCTCAGAGCTGGCAGGGTGTGTGTGGAATGGGGTGGGGGACCCAGAGACCCAAAACCATTTTACCTATGGCCATTCCCACCTGCCCGTCCTCAGCTTCTGGAAATGGACTCCCCAGGGAGATGGTTCCTCTGAGCCTCTTCCTTGTCCTGTGGGCCTCTGGGGCTGCTCTCTCCTCCTGAGACAGTAACCACTGCTGTTCACGGAATGCTCACCAGGCATGTGAAACTCTGCACACACTCTGTCTATAGCACAGGAGGGAGGACCCAGGCTTGCACAGGACCCTCTGGCCCCTCTGGCTTTGTCACTGAGAAGCTGAATGATCTTGGAGAAGGAGACGGTAAGCCGCTGCACCTCTCTGAACTGAAGCTGCATCATCCCCAAAATGGGCTTTGACACCCACCCAGCTGAAGGAGCAAATGAAGTGATGTGGGGGCAGGATAGCCAGGGAGGGCTCGGTGCCTGAAAGCCACGACCACCTCAGGCTGCGCCCCAGCCTGGGGGACTCTGGGGCTGGTGAGGAAGAACCCAGCCCCTGCGAGGGAGCCTACAGCCCAGGCTAGAGCTCTGACCCTGGCATTGAGACTTTCTTCCCATGTGACCTTGGAGGACCAACAAATGAGTTAATATAAACAAAGCACTAAAGCAGTGCCTGGCATATGATAAACGCTACATCGGACCAGTGTGTCCAGACTCTCAGTTTTGGTTCTTCCCTCTTTAGCATATGACCCTCATTGGCTTTATTTGCTATTGCTTTGGTGTTCCACCCCCATGCCAGGGACCCCAGTCTCTCTGTACCCTCAGAGGACAAGCCTACAAATCGTCCTACTTATCTTGGTCGGGGCCGCTTCCTCTTGGGGTCCAGCAGCCTGCTGGGTGACTCCCATCCGTCCCAAATTTATCCTGCCCTGCCTGTCATCTCTGTACCACGTGCACAGTGCGGGGGATCCAGAAGCGAAGGCTGGTTGCCAGGGCAACGGAGGATAAAGCCCTTGCTCTGCCAGGCTGCTGATTGGCTGAGGCGGGTCCCACCTCCTGCTATCCTGAGGGTGGGGGGCAGAGGGAAGGGTCTCCAATGGGAGGGGAGAGGTACAGGCTGCCCAGCCCAGGACCGCCCCCCTCCGCCCAGGCAGAGCCCCTGGGCCTGAGAAACTGTCTCTCCTGGGGGAGGGGGGGGGTGTTGGCCTCGCCTCTTCTCTGCTTCCCGCACCCAGGGCGGCTGCAGATGGCAGCATCTCTGGGGACAGCAGCTACGACTGAGTCCACGGGCCGACACTGAGCTGCTTGGGCCGAGGCGGTGCGCTCAGCCCAGAGCCCCCGGAACAGGCTTCTGCAGGGCTTGAGGTGGGTCTGCGGGTGCGGGGGTTGGGCTGCCAGGTTGAGAGGTACCAGCGGCTTGAGAGGCAGGGAAAGGAGGTCTGCAACCCTCGCATTGTCCTGGATGGGACTGTTGCTGGAATTGGGGCTAGAAAATTCCTTATAGGTCATCTGGTAGCCCCCACGCCTACCTCGTCATTGGTCAGGGACACGCTGAAGTTCAGAAAGGCTGAGGAGCGACCCAAGGTCACAAGGAAGCCAGTGGAGGTTCTGCTTCAGCTGAGCCAGTCCTCTGAGAAGCCAGGAGAAGGTCTGGGGTCCTCGGTTGCCCCAGAATGCCTGGGATTTTCTTCACAAGGCTGGCGAGGGTGGGAGACCCAAACCACCTCTCCACAGGCCCTCGGCACTGAGGCTGAAATGGCTCCTGCTCTGTCCAAGTCCTCCATCCTCATGTTTAAGCTCAAAGGAGCCTGGGGTCCTGGGTGGGCCAGGGGAGGGGGCACAAATCTCTCGGTCTCAGTCAGGCTAGTTTGGAGCAGACTTCCTGCTCGTAGGTCCCCTTCTCCACCTCCCCCAAACCCAGGCCACACCAAGCAATTCAGAACCCTCTCTTTGGCTCTCCAGAAAGGCAGATGGTTAGGAGGACAGGCTCTAGCCCTGACTCTGGGCCATTAGCACACTCTTCATTTTATTCCTCGGTGAAGAGAATAGGGCACCTTGAGACACTGTGGTTTGGAGCAGCCAGTGGGGACCTTGGAGGGTGCAGGAGAGCTTCCGGGTGGTTGCAGGATTGGGGAGCAGCACCTCTGCCTCCCCTGGGGCCATAGCCCTCCTCGGAGACCCACCCAGCAGCAGAGGGGCGAGAGGACTGGAGTCTGGAGCCCGAGGTCTGAGAACCTGGGGCTTCTCCTCAGCCAGCCCTGGAGGTCACTCTTCCCTCCCGAGAAGACAAGGTGGACCTTGGCTCATTTCATTCAGCTCAGGTGTCTTTCCCCACCAAACCTCAGGATTTCACTGGGGGACTGGAGTCCAACTCCGTCACTTCTCAGTTTGGTAACTCAGGGCAAGTTAGTGAGCTTCGCCAGGCCTCAGTTTCTTCATCTATAAAATGTGAACAATGATACTTACCCCAGAGACCTGTTATAAGGTCTGTGACTTCATTCTGACCGTGGTCTCCCTGCCTGGCGGGCAGAGGTGGGGCTCCTCACCCTACCCCTTTCTCATACTTCAGGAACCATTCGAGGGTGGATTAAATGGGTCCTGATTTGTCCCATGTCTGGAGGAGATAATCTGTGGTGTGCCTTTTGAAGTATGTATAGGAGTTTGCCAGATGAACATGAATGCAAAGGACATTCCAGGAAAATGAAAGCACATGCAGAGATAGAGACTGTATCACATGCAGGCACACGCAGGTGACTGACAAGTGGTTCCCTCTGATGGCGTGGAGTGCGGGAGATGAGGCTGGCAAGGTTGGCAGAGAGCAGGGGTGGACCACTCTAAGGAGCTGGATACATGTAACACTTGTGAATCACCTTAAACCTGCCAGCTTCCATTTCCTGCTCTCCCCACCTCTGGTGCCCTGGAAATAACATCAGCTAGTATTCATCAAGTGCTGATTCTGCTCCAGGCAGCATGATGCTAAAGGCACTTTAGGCATTGTCTTGTTAAACATTCACAGAGACCTTAAGAAGTGGGTCCTACCTCTATGCCCATTTTACAGATAAGAAAACTGAGGCTCAGAGAACAAGAACAAAGTACTATGTAGCACTCAGTAAGCATCAGGCACTGGCTCTGAGCGTTTTATATAAATTATCTTTTTTAACAGTCACAACAGCCCTATGATTGCCCGTTTTTATGGGCGTGGAAATCAAGGCCCGTCTTTGGGGGCTGCTGCCCTTGTCCATGCTTTCATAATTATGACATGGGGCACGGGCCTGAATTCAGGAGCCTGTGCAGACCGTGTTGATATCAACCAGGTTTCCTGGGGATGGGTGGCTGTTCACCGCGCTTTCACCAAGCAACCCCTGGCCAGGATGTACGGGTGGCTGGGGACCCACTCATCTGTGAGGGGGCTGGCAAGTGGCAGCCTCTGCAGATGCTTCAGAGCCGGGAGAGGGGGCTCAAAGGAGGACTGACCGAGTCGTCCTTTACTGAGAGCTCTGAGAGGTCAGTCACCTCGCCCCGTCCCCTCAAGTCTCTGGTGCTTGTCCCCCCTTCTGCCGGGGACAGTGCTGGGGCCCGGAGAGGTTAGGCAGCTGGCCTCAGGCCACAAGTTCTGTTGAGGGACTGAGGCATAGGGGGCCCTCCGCTATAAGCTTCCTTGTGAGTAGGAGCCGGGCGGGCCCCTGGGTGGCTGGCTGGCTGTGTGCCTGCTCAGAGGCCAGGGTGCAGAGTCACTGCCCCCCACTCTCCGGGTGTCTACCCACCTGCGAGGTGATGTTCTGGCCACCTGGCTCCGTGAAGACCGCGGGTGCCCCCTCTGGGAGGGAGGGTGGGTGGGCGGGTGGACGAGCCGCCCCTCTGCTGGTTCTCACCGACCGTGTCTCAGCAGCCAAGGCCGCCGCGATGCCGCACTTCCTGGACTGGTTCGTGCCTGTTTACCTGTTCATCTCTGTGCTCATCCTGGTGGGCTTCGGCGCCTGCATCTACTACTTCGAGCCCGGCTTGCAGGAGGCGCACAAGTGGCGCATGCAGCGCCCCCTGGTGGACCGCGACTTCCGCAAGACGCTGATGGTCCGCGACAACCTGGCCTTCGGGGGCCCCGAGGTCTGAGCTGACCTGTGCTGGCGGCGGTGGCGGGGCGGTGCCCTCTCCCGCGCCGCCCAGCCTGGAGACCCTGGGGCAGAGGGAGGCCACCCCTGGTCCTCCGGGCGATCGCTCTGCAGCCTGGCTCCTTCCAGGAGGAGGTGCTCCAGGAGGATCCGGCTGTGCAGGGATGGGGCACCTGGTGTGCCTTGAGATGTCGCCGCTGCTGATGGCCCCGGGGCTTGCTCTCCAGGCCAAGCCTGCTTACCCCACGCCTGCCCTCCCCAGCTCCGGGGACACCATCCTGCTCCCCCCAGTGCCTTTGTGCTGCCCAGCGCTCCTGGCCCTCCACCCAGACCCAGGCACTCTGCCGGTCCTGAGTCTCCAGGTCTCCCACGTCCCTTCAGGGTCCTGGGTGACACTCAGCTCCCCGCTCCCGCCGATGGTCTCGACCCTGCAGCTCCACGGGCCAGGCTTCAAGTCTGCTGAAAGGAAAGGGCCCCCTTTGGAGGGAAGTCAGCTCAGGGCAGCCCAGCTCTACTGCTCTGGGCCCAAACTTAGCGTGGATGAGTGTGTGTGATGGGGCGTGCCAGGGGCCAGACCATAGAGGAAGGACGTGTGTGTATGTGTGTGTGTGTCATAGAGGGAGAGAAAGTTTTGGAGGAGTAAGCAGCCTTGGAGACAGCAGGGTGGGGGGGAGAAGCATGTATGTGTGAGAGGGAGAGGGGGGCCCCAGGCAGGGTGAGAAGTGGGGGACGGGGTGAGTTCCGTGGGCATTCTGGGGGCCACCAGCAGCAGTTCCCGCCCCCCTTCCTTGTCTGGACTTTCCCCTTTCTCTCCTTTCCCAAGACTGAGGCTGCTGGCAGAAGCCCTGCCTCCTCTCCTGGTCCTGTGCTGCCCCCCCAAGCCCACCCTGGAGCCCCTTCCTTTGTGGAGCACCACCCTTCCTTTTTGGACATCTGTTGGCCTCACTCCCCTTCTCTGGGGCTTCCACCTTAATTTATTGCAATAATAAAGACTCCATGACTATCTCAGCAGGACTGTCTCCTTTCCTAAAAGTAGGCTCATGTCTGTCATCTCACTGGATCCTCATAAAAAACATGATAGTTCAGGGACTTCCCTGGTGGTGCAGTGGATAAGAATCCTCCTGCCAATGCAGAGGACATGGGTTTGATCCCTGGTCTGGGAAGATCCCACATGCCACGGAGCAACTGAGTCCATGCACTGCAACGTCTGTGCCCACACTCTAGAGCCGCAACTACTGAGTCTAAATGTTGCAACTACTGAAGCCCGCGTGCCCAGAGTCTGTGCCCTGAAACAAGAGAAGCCACCACAGTGATGCGCCCGAGAACCACAACAAAGAGTGGCCCAGATTTGCCGCAACTAGAGGAAGTCCGTGCCCAGCGATGAAGACCCAGTGCAACCAGAAACAAAAAAAACAAACAAAAAACCCCATGATCATTCAATATCCCCCATTTGGGGGATGGAAACTGAATCGCCAGAAGGAAAGAGCAATTTCTCAGCGGGTGTATCGTTGACTTTTTGGATGAGATCATTCATTCTTAGCTGTGGGGGGTTGTCCTGTGCGTGCAGTAGGGTGGTGAGCACCTCTGGGCTCCACGCAGTAGAAACCAGTAGCCCTGTGCCCTCCCCTGACCTGGGACAACCAAAAATGCTAACTGGAATTCCTGGGGTAGAGAACCAGTGAGGACATAAGTTCAGGCACAGAGATGCAAAACAATACAGCCTGATACCAAATAGAACATCCTTTCTTTCTCATGGTTCTTTCATATGGAGGTTATCCAGACTGGTCTGGTGGCCAGGCCCACGCAGTGTTCAGGGACCCGAGTTGCTCCTCTCTTGCTGAAGGGATGTTGTTGGTTGGTGCACCCCCCCCGCCCACAGGGGGGTCTTCTGTACCCTGAGGAGCAGAGTGGAAGGAGGTTGGAAGTGGTCACCTGCCCTCTTGAGGGATACTGTGGCTGGCTGGACCCTTAATTCCCTTTACACTTCACCGGCCCATACTTAGTCACATGGGTACTCCTAGCTGCAAGGGAGTCTGGGAAGAGCTGTATCTTCATTTTAAAAAGTCCCCCTCCTTTAGAATTTTGGTTCGACATGTACACACTGCTATGTTTAAAATGGATAACCAACAAGGACCTACTGTCTAGCACATGAAACTCTGCTCAATGTTTTGTGGCAGCCTGGATGGCAGGGGAGTTTGGGGGAGAATGGATTCATGTATTAATATATGTATTGCTGAGTCCCTTCGCTGTTCACCAGAGCACAGTTAATTGGCTATACTCCATATAAAATAAATAGATAAAAAAAAGTCCTCCCTCCTTGAAAAGGGGAGAACACATGGAGGCAGCTGGCATTCCATCTTTTCTTTTAAATTTTTGGCTGTACCCCACAGGATCAGGGATCCTGCAACCAGGGATCTTAATTCCCTAACCAGGGATTGAACCCATGCTACCCACATTGGAAGGCAGAATCTTAACCACTGAACCATCAGGGAATCCCTGCCATTCTGTTCATAGGGATTTGCCAAGGGCACAGGGCAAGGGGCTGAGATTTGGATCAGATCTCCTTACCCCAGGCCTAGGCTTGCTCTTGAACAAGCCCCATCTTAGGAGTCAGCCAGGACAAAAGCTATCTTCTCTTACCTTGAGGGTGGGGCTACCCTCCCCCCTGGAGCGAACCCAGGGATTGCAGGGGCTGTCTTGCAGAACCAGGTTAGAGCGAGGCAAGAGGGGCACCAGTGCTGGGCACCTCTCTTGTCTCAACCCAGCCCAGCTCTGTTATTTCTGAGTTTCACCGCCCTGACCTCCGTCTGACCCAGCAGAGTGTTCTGTAGCTTTCAGAGACTCTACCACACTACCACCCAGGACTCTTGCAGCCACAAGGCACCAAACTGAAAACAGCTGCAATAAAAGGGTTTGCTCCTACACTCAGGCTCGGCTGGACCCTGGGGCTCAAGGATGTCACCAGTGCTCCATGGAGCCATCCTGCTCTCTCCCCATCTCGCTCAGCCCTGCGGGCTTCATCCAGGTGGATTTTTCTTCTCCATGAGGTGGTAAGTTGCCCAGACAGTCCCAGGCTCACACAGCCCTAGTGCATTGATCTCAGGAGGGAGCACACGTCGTGTTCAAGCAAAAAGTTCCCATCAGCCCCCGGGTTCTTGAGCCCAGGGGATGGGTGCGCTGATCACCAGGCAGCTCCAGCTCCAACCACAGGGGACAGGGCTGGAGTTGCTCTGCTGATCTCGTAGTCTGAGGGGTAGGTTGCCGCTGGAAGGGAAGGAAAGGGAAAGGGAAGGGAGGGGAAAGGGAAGGGATGCTGGGTGAAAACCAAGAGGGACTGAGGCTGCTGCTTTATGGAGGAGGATACAAGGGTGGAGAGAAGTGAACCAGGGTGACCCAGGGGGTTACCAGCACCTGGGTTTGAGACTGGGAGCCTGGGATGGGGAGAATGGACGGAAACCCTCAGAGTTTGGTGGGTATGTGAGTCAGGGCTCTCTGTACGGACTTTCAGGGCAGGCAGGGCACGGCGGAGGTAGGTGAGCAGGTGAGTGGGTTCTGTAGGGACCCACTGGAGGGCAGGGCCCTTCCGGTGTCTTTCATCGCCCCACACCAGAAAGAGGGGGGACCCAGCACCACCCACACCACCCTCTCAGTAGCCAGTTCCAGACGCCTCCGTGTCTCTGGCAGCGCCAGCCCCAGTGTATTCTGAGCTTTCTTCCCTGAAGGGGGGTGGTCATGAACGTCTTCCTTTACAAGGCTGAGTGGGTAGAGGTGTGAGGCATGGGGGACGGGGCTGGGAGGCCAGGACTAGGAGCTGGGTGCTGCCTCTGTTTATCAGGAAAGAGGAAAGTGCCCTAGCAGAAACCACGTGCATGAGTCAGGACCAGTGATTGCCAGGGACAGAAAAATCCCGACTCACTAACTGACTTGGGTAAGGGGAAAGTTATCACAAAGACACTGGGGTGGTCCAGCCCTGTAGGACAAAAGAGTGGCAGGGACTCAGGACAGCTAGACAGGCACTCCCCCTTAGGACTCTCTTTCAAATCTTTTTTTTTTGGCTACATCATGTGGCCTGTGGGATCTTAGTTTCCCAACTAGGAATCGAACCCATGCCCCCTGCAGTGGAAGTGTAGAGTCTTAATCACTGGGTCACCAGGGAAGTCCCCTCAAACCATTTTTTATTCCTGTTTCTGTATACCCCTTTCACTAACCACCCCTGCTGCCCCCCATCATGGAAAATGCAGTAGGCAACTGCTGGCAAATTTTATGTCTTACAGCTCTAGGCACTGGAGAGAGAGTTACCCGTCCCTCTCTCTGGCTGCAGGGCTTCCCAGGGGGCGCTTGTGGTAAAGAACCCGCCTGCCAAAGCAGGAGACATAAGAGATGCACGTTCAATCCCGGGATCGGGAAGATCCCCTGGAGAAAGAAATGGCAACCCACTCAAGTATGCTTGCCTGGAGAATCCCATGAACAGAGGAGCCCGGTGGGCTACAACGACTTTGCACGCACGCACATAGTCTCTGGCTGCAAGCACATATATCTCGGGAAGGATTCATGGCTCATCCTAGGTCAGATGCCCATTTTAAACTCACCACCTGAGACTAGGGCAGGGTCCTCTGTAAGGTCCAGCTTGGAATAGGGTCTTCTGGACCCGCCCACATGACCTGAGCTCAGGTCCTCTCAGAACCTGACTCCGGCTCCTGCCGTCAGGTCTCTTGGGATGTTACGGAAGGAAGCCAGGGCTCAGAAGGAATGATGGAAATTTCCCTTCACCCCTGGTCCAGACTCATCAGACAGTCCCTCTTGGACTATTAGGCTTAACTGACTGAGTCAGGGAAGGCCTCAGACTCGATCTGGCCTGCAGCCAAGTTTGAACAAATGCAAATTAATTGGCAACCTTTTTAAGTCAGGAGATTTCACATGAAAGTCTTTTTCTGACTCCCCCCCCACTTTTTTTTTAAGCTGCACCACACTGCTTGCAGGATATTAGTTCCCTGACCAGGG